TCCTTGGAGAGGGACATCATGCTTGGGAGGGTGGAGGGACAGCGCAGGAGGGGAAGACCCTCTATGAGATGGATTGATTCGGTGACTGGGGTAATAGGGATGGGTGTGTCAGAGGCGGTGCGGTTGGCGCAGGATAGAGCAGGGTTTGGGGTTGTTGTGCATAGGGTCGCTATGAGTCGGAAACGACTGGACGGCACATAACAACAACAACAACAATAACTACTATGATAATCTTTATGTGCCCACTTTCACTTTTTACAGCTTCCAATTTTCCTAGATTGATACTTGGTACATTTTGTGTTTCAATTACTAATGGATATTTGTAGCTATTTCTTCTCTCTTGCAGTGGGAAATCTTGCCCTCAAGGACCTGTCCAATGTGGTAAAGAGCAAAAAATATCAGTTTACAGACTAAGGTGCACCTGTTCCAAGTCATGGGTTTATTTGTTTGTTTTTTTCAATTATTGCCAAAGCATCTGAAAGTTGGACAATGAGTAATAACAGCAGAAGAACATATACACTTGAATTTTGGTCTTAGAGAAGAATATCTCTTGGACTGACAAAAGAATAAACAAGTCTGTCTTGAAGTAAGTGTAACCAGAGTGTTCCTTAGAGGCAAGGAGGTAAAACTTGGTCTCACATACTTTGGGCACTTGTAGGAGGAACCAGTCCTTGGGAAAAGGCATCTTGCTGGGAAAGGTGGGGAATCAAAGAAAAAGATGAAGACTTTGATGAGATAAATTGACACAATGACTGTAACAATGGACTCTAGCATCTCAGAGGTAGTAGGAGGTGCAGGATAGGGCAAAGTTCAGATCTGTTGTTCAGAGTTGTAATTGATGTCATGGCTCTTAATGAAACAATAGTTTTAACCCTTGATGCCAATCTGAGTATTTTCTCTCTCTTTTTCCAGGTGATTTGCATTGCCCCCCGCCTTGGTTCTTAATTCTTGCCTTTAAATCGAATAGTTATTTATTCTAGGATATGCCTTAGCATTTACTACTCTTATTTTCCCAGGTTTTAGGGGTGGTGGTGGGGTGGTGAAGCTTCCATTATATTAGATTCATACTTTTAAAAAAATTTAGATGAATTAACTTTATAAATGTAAAATGTGAGTTCTCTTCTACTGCTTGGTTTTTCTTCCTCAGGGACTCCAGTTTTACATATATTGGATCTTTTTAATTTGTTTTACATGTTATCACATTTGTTATGATTCATATGCCTTAACTTTTTATTTATTTTAGTTTCATTTTCTTGACTTTTCCCATGCCTCTCTTCTGTGTCAACTGTATGTCTAGTTTAATCTTGACAGAATTTGTCTTTTATTGCCATTTCTTTCCTGAAGTTAGCTCTATAAGGATTTTACGTCCTTACATTGCCCATATATTGTTTGTCCAGTTCTATTGTGAATTTTTAAATTTTTGGTTCAGAGTGAAGCTTCTTGATTAATTATGTATTTAATTAATCTTGGAGTGCATATTTCTGTGTAATCTGTGTGTAATCTTGAGTATTTATTCCTACTGACAAGTTATGATTCCAATTATCAGTTTTATAATAAATTTATATAAATAGTGTGGGTTTATTTTTCTATTTGTGATTATTCATGCTGGAATTTCCTGGACTAGAAATAGCAGGTTATCCTATGAAAAAAGGTAGGAAGTTCAATGGCTTCCTAGGTTTCTTTATTCAAGAATGCTGCAGCAGACCCATATTTTCAGTACACTTCCGACTCCCTGGACTGCATCCTTTCCCTCAGACTTGTCCTATGTAGCATCACCACCATGGATCTACAAGTCACAAGGGAGTGCTGGGTCCTCTTATTGGCTGTGCTGTCATGCTCATCCATCACAGCTCAGAATTTACAGGTCCCCTTTTACTCATAAATTTAGGTAAAGCACCGTATTAAAGGGGATCAATTTCTGGTATCCTGTGTGGCCATCAAGAAGGCTGAATAATGCAACCTGGAAGTGAAGGAAGTGTTACCTCCCCATGGGGTAAATGGATAGCAGGTTTAGGAAGGGCTTTTGCAGATAAACTTTCTCTTTTCTTTTACAGACCTCTCCATGGCATGCATACTCTACATGTTTGGAGAACATAGCTCAAGAAACTGCTGAGAAAAAGAATCTCAGTTGCTCCTACAGTGAAGTTCACTCTCTGTAATGAATGGGTCACCTTGTGGCTGCATTTCTCTGAATTCTTGATATTATCTTACTTTTTACAGGCCAATTCTTTTTCTTTTATCCCCAACCATCTGAGGTTCAGCACCCTTTTCCAACGCACTGCCTTTTCAGAATCATTACCTTCCTAAAACAGGTTGTCCTTGTACCTCAAACTTTTCTCCTGGAGCAGTTATATTCCTCATTGTCATCCCAGCTTTCTCCATTATCATCCCAGTTCATACACTTGAGGTTTTGACGTCCTTGCTGGAGATTCCCCAACTGATGTCTGTTCTGCCACGGGCTCAAGCTTAACTCTCCCAATCTTGAGTGTTTTTTTCCTATTCACACACATACTGAACCATCTCTTCATTACATTATATATCATTATATTTCATTACATGATACATCGTATACTCATTAGGCATAAGTTATGAGTGGCTTTATTTGATCTCCTTAATGATATGAGTAATTTTTAGGAAGATGTGTAAAGATTTAAATTCAAATAGCTATTTACATTTATTTCTTTTAAATGATAAAATACTGTTTGGTAAAGACCCATTAGCCAGAATCTAACATTAATCTTCCCAAATTAGGTTAAAATAGAAGTCACCTGAGAAAATCAATGAAAGAGAAAAAGGCAAAGACATATGACACAGAAATAGAAATTATTTCTGGGTATGAGACTACTCTTGCCAGTATTAATACTGCAAATGCAATGTTTGTAGGCTAATGTGAAAGGTAATCAAGTGATTAGTTAAGTTGTAGAAGTCATAAATATACCTAAATAGGTGTGAATAGTGACATCAACCATCCTAATGTTATACAAAGAGATGTACCTTTGTTTAAGGTACAATATTCAGTGACAGTATCATATACTGATTAAAAAACAAGTTAGGTAGAGGTGAAAACTGTGTCAGGTGATTCTAAAGCTGATTCTTGGCAAAGACTCTTGATGACCAAGACTCACTTGAATGAAACAGAACTGCTTTTTGAAGAAAGTGGAAAAGAGTAATACTGTCTAGGATATCATGTTGCTGTTAGGTGCCACCGAGTTGACCCTGTGAACAACAGATCTGAGCCCTGTCCTATCCTCTGCCGTCCTCATCATCTCTGGTACACTTGAGCCCATTGCTGCAGTCACTGTGTCAATGCCTCTGAGGGTCTTCCTTTCTTTTTTTGACTCTCCACCTTTTCAAGCATGATGTCCCTTTCCAATTAAATGGCCTTTCCTAACAACATGCCCAAAGTATGTGAGACTAAGCTTTGCCTTCCTTGCCTCTAAGGAACATTCTGGATGCACCTTCTCCAAGACATAATTGTTTGTTCTTTTTACAGTAGATGGGATATTCAGTACTCTTTTCCAACACCACAACTCAAAGGCATTTATTCATCTTCGGTCATTCTTATTCATTCTGTAATACTGTCCAGCTCTCAAATGCATAGGAAGCCATTCAAAAGACCATGATCTGAGTCAGGGGCAACGTAGAGTTTAAACTGACATTAATTGCTCCATGGTACTATGGCAAGGTCCTTGACAGCAGACTTTCTCAATGCAAGATGTCTTGTGATCTTTTGACTGCTAGTACTAGGGGTGTTAATTGTGGATCTGAGTGAGATGAATGGGCAATCTCCTCCTGTGTGATTTTACTGCCTCTGAAAACCTGCTGGAAGGTCAGCTGTGAGGTGGTTATGCCTCGACAAAGGGAGCTCTGGTGTTCTTGCGGTAAGAAGCTGCATTGTAATCCCAAATTTGTGATTTGAGTTCACTAGCTGCTCCTTGAGAGAAGGATGGACAATTTCTTCTCATGCCATTTACTGTTTCTGGTAACACACTGGAGTGTTCATTCCAACTCAGCAGCACACAATAACAACAGTGTGACAGAATATCATAGGCAAAGTCATTTAAAAAGAAAAATGCAAGTAAGTTAATAAGCTAAATATCTTAAGTAGGTATTTACTTGATCTATACCTTTAAATATTTACATTTTTCTGTATCTTCTCCTTGGACAAATGAAATTTTTCCTTTAGTCAGGGTTACTTTCTATATAGGAATACTTTTTTTAAAAATTTTTTTTATATAGGAATACTTTCATAAAAATATGACACCGATAGCTCCAGGGAACATTATCTGCCTGGTTTCTGTGGCCATTGGGCTAAATGCTGGGAAGAGTAGTAGAATGGGCTTACTTTTCCTGGTTGGGCAGGGGGGATTATGTACACATTAAAGATGTTGAATTACATGTGGTTTCACAAAGAGAAAGCTTTGGAGCATCTGAAAATGGAATCAGACTTCAGACTGGAAGCCTGAGAGGGAAGCGTCAGGGGCTAGCTTGTTCTGTTAGGTGATGAGAAGTGGCGTCATGTTTGAGAGGTTAGATTGCCAAAGAAAGGCCGTGAGTCTTAGAATGGTTTGCCTTGAATATACCAAAAGGTAACAGGGAGCCGTAGAAAGTTTTGAGTAAGAGAGCAATGACCTCTTTCACTGGGCCCTGCCTTATGGATTGAATTGTGTCTCCCAATAGATGTGCGATAAAAGATAGTCCCAACCCTTGGCACCTGTAAATATGACATTGTTAGGAAATAAGATATTAACTAAGATGTTATCAGCCAATATGTAACCATACTGGATAGGCTGGTTCCTAATCCCATCTAAGTTGTCTCCTTTTAAAAGAAAATACACAGAGATATAGACACATGATGAAGAGGAACATGTGACACTTTAAAGGTCAAGGAGCTCCTGTAGCTACTGGATGCTGGAAGAGACAAAGTAAGCTCTTCTCCTAGTCCAGACAGAGCGAGTGTGACCATGCCAACTGGACTCTTATCCTGCAGACTATGAAACAATCAATTTACTTTCTGAAAAACCACCCAGTATTTTGTTACAACCACCCTAGGACACTAAGACACCCTACCTGAAGTCACCTTCTTGTCTATGACTGTTCTCTATCCGCTCAAACTCCTCAGAGGCCAGCACCATTCCACTGTCTGTCTGGTTATCCTGTAGAGAAAGAGCAAGCCTAGGGTTGTGGCCCCACCCTAGGTCCTTCTGCAGCACAGCAGTCCCTTAGCCAGAAGGGAGATGTGGACTATCCTCTGTGTACCTGCTGATGTACCACTTCCTTCTGCTAGAACTGAGTGGGAGTCTGGGCAGAGCCTGCATACACTGCTCCACAGGAGGAGAAACTGAGGTTTCGGGAAGCACAGGCCATTCATATGTGGGAGGTGGCAAAGGCAAGTCACTCCTTGCAAGGGACATACAAGTGGCAATACGTGGGGGTACAGGGCATGGTTAAAGCAGGAGCACCAAGAGAGATGGGAAGAATATTTGAAAGAATAGGATAGTTCATAGTTTAACAAAATGGTCATAGTGAAGGAACATCCCAACTTTAGTTGGCTTTACTATCCTCAGATTGTAGTTTGGCATGGTTTTTATCTAGAATTACATAAAAGGGAGCTGTGTTCTTTTCAGAGTTTGGGGCCTTCTAAAGTCTTCATCTGACCCAGGAGACTGGGCAACTCGGCTCTGATCCAGGTCTCCCACTCCAACTCTGTGACCTACAAGGCTTCCCTTGGAACCTGTATTTACTGACCAGGACCTAGAATCCACTGCCTCACATCTAGAAGGGAGGCTGGGGCTCACATCCTGGCTGCAGCTTCTGAAATTCAACTTTGGAAGGCTCAATCTGCCCTTTTACAAAATAGAGACACTAGGGTCAATCTTCAGGAGACTTGGTGGCATAGTGTGTACAAGTCATGTTCCTAGGAGGAACTATTCCTGGGAAAGGAACATGGTGCTCGGGAAGGTTGAGGGTCAACGAAGGAGAAGATGACCCTTGACCAGGTGCATTGACACGGTGACTGCTGCGATGGGCTCTAGTGTGTCAGGGAGTGTGAGGATGGCGCAGGACAGGACAGGGATCAGATTTGTTGTTCATGGGGTCGCTATGAGTCATACTCGACTCAACGGCACCTAACAACAACAACAGCTGAAGTGTCAATGATTCAAATCTAGCAGCCACTCTAAGGGAGAAAAATGGGCTTTAAGAAATCCAGTGGAGGATGACTAAAAGCGAGAATTGACTTGAGGGTAGTAAGTGTGGGCCAATCTCAGGAAGTACATCACCCAAGCTATGCTTGTTCACCTGCATCTGGGAACACGTATATGACTACCTGAGTGGACACTGGTTTACTCCCGTATGAGGTAACCAGCCTCCTCTTCTAGTGACACCATCCCCTGTTCTCAGGTCACACAGCCTGATGGCACCAATTTCTCATTCAGGCTGGTTGTTCACGGAGAGCCACTGGGCAAAAAGAGCTGCCTTTCCACTGGGGTTCCTAGGCTGTGGGGAGAGCCGCTGAGGATGATGGCAATGATGTCACAGCAGCTGAGGCTTTAATGTCGTTCAGGGGCCACCACTACCTTGACTTCTAGAGTGAGTCTGAGTTATCTTTGCCACTTGCTTTAGGAGTTCCTGACTGCTCCCTGCCTCTTCTCTGAGAGACCTCTGGCCTGAACCCCACATTCTCTTCCTCCCCATTGTCACCAGAGAGCTCACCACCGAAGCTTTGTAAGTCGTAGGGGTCATGGGAAATTCCTCGAAAGTTTTCATCCTGGAGGCACCCTGGGCCTGAGTCCCTCTGGCCAGACACCCAGGAAAGGACACACAATTGTAGTATCTGGGGAGACAAAATTAAAACTACTTAGTTAAAAAAAAAAAAAGTGACGAGCAGGCCTCCTGTCCATATTTCAAGGAGGAAGGTCTGTTCCTTTGGGGATGTAACTTTTTAATAAATATAACTTTACTATTTCATCCTAAAAAAAAAGCTAATGAGTAGCCACACACCAGCCACCTTCCTGAAAGCTCCCTGCACCTTTTCTTCTTGCCTCCTCTCATTTCAGGAGCACCAGGATCTAGGTCCAGGCCTGAGTGCTGGTCTAAGCCTCTCCCCAAATCCCATCTCCAATTGCTAGGCATATCCTTCTTTGTCCAGTGCCTCTGTTTCCCCCCTTGCTCTAGAAAATTAAAGCCTCATGAGTTTGCCACTGGGTGGTGTGGAAACTTTACCACCCTGTAAAATGGCCATTTACAATGGCTCTGCTACTTTAGCTGCCCTACAATGCTCCCTCACACCTCTACAATTTGCTTGAATAAAGATAAAATACACCGTGTCCAAGCTGCTCCCGTGCCCACCCCGCCCCACGTCACCCGGGGCCTGGAGGGCAGCTGACCTGGCAGCCAGGCTGTGGCGGTGCTGGCTGGGCGAGCTGCTCTCGGAGTCAGGGGAGGCGATGTGCAGGGCGGTGGTGGATGCCTGCAGGAAACTGCCCTCCTCAGAGCTCTGGGAGCCACGTTGAGGTATGAAGTCCTCTTCCTCCTAGACGGGAAGGGACAGGTATTCAGGGTCAGAAGTCACACAGAACCTCCAGGCCCGCCCTGGGTGGTATCTTCCTTGCGAAACTGGTTCTAATAGTAGTGGTTCCCTGAGCACCCTGAGTCAGTGTGAGCTTGCACACGCCGGCCGACATTGTGGGGCTCTGCGTAGGCTGGGTGCCGCTCTCGAGACGATTTCCACTCACAGCGACCCCATGTGTATAAGAGCAGATTTGTACTCATTTATTACTTATTATTACTGGCTCATTTATTATTATTATGATGATGATGATGAACTCAATCACCAAGCCATTCTTCCAAGGTAATTCTGAGTTGCGACCTCCATCTTTGTGGTTAGCAGCTAAATGTTTTAACCATCAAAAACCTCTGCTATATGCCAGCCTCCCTAAATGTTCACCAGACTCTAAAGATGCCCTTCATCAAAAGGCCAGGAGGTCCTCACTCCACACTTCTCAGGTGTTCCTGCAGCCTCAGGAGCCAATATGTTTGCTTCCCACACTCCTTCTCTTAGGGCAGAGCCAGACTCAAAGTGGCTGTTTCCACCCCCGGAGGCTGGGCAGCGGGCTGCACTCCTTTCTGTCCTGTGCTGTGCCCACCTATAATCCCTGGTGTTGGCTCTGAATTGGCTCTGTTCCCCACCCATGAAGAGCACTGGGGACACAGAAGACAAGTGCTTGTGTCCTTGGTGGGTACGGAGTAGATTGGACTTGGAGGGCTATGATTGAGAGGAGAGAATTGAATTCATTATCACAGTGCTGGGGCTGTGAGGGGATGCTTTGCAGGCCCAGTGAGGGGCCACGGCAAGGGCCATTGTGGCCTGGATGAGGACAAAGATGACCTTTTGAAAGACAGGCAGACTCTGACCACATGATGGCCTGGGAAATATTAATGGATTTGAGTTCAATGGAAATATGCACAATGGAAGATAAGCCTGTCTCCACCTCAGAAGGCTACGTACGGCATGAAGGTGGAACACAGGCAATGGGCACTGGAGGGTAGACCCAGGCACCTGGAGGCTGGCCCTGTACCAACCCGTGTGCTGTAGCTTAGAGTCTGTACAGCACTGATCACAGGGCTCCTGGGGCAGCCTGGGCCGGAAGGGGGACCCTCCTGGGAAAGAGAAAAGGCTAAAGGCTGTAGCAGGACAGAAAGAGGGGCTCACCTGCCGGTCCCCAGCCTGCAATAGGTCCCCCAGGATTTCTACCAACTCTGAAAATGAAGGTCTTGCCTTGGGGTCTCCTGACCAGCAGCTTAGCATGATGCGGCGTCTGTGAGGTAAAGAGGGGGTGCAGTACTGTGCTCTGAGTACAGTCCATCGTCCTTCCACCAGCAGGCCCCACCCCACCCACTCTGGCCTGCCTGTGTTCCTTCCCACCTCCAGGCCCCCTTCATCCTAGTTTGCTTTTCCCACTCGGCTCAGTGTTGCTCCTTGGAGATAAGACATTGATGCTCGGCTACACCCTCCACTTGGTGTCCACCACAGTTGTGGCTACATGGCAGTTTCTATTCTACTATAGCTGGTCTCCAAGGCCAGCCCCTTTGGCAGGATCCATGGAGAATTATTGGGTGGATGAGGGGTGGAGGAAGAGAGAATACTTGTGACAGCCCCTTACCGACCAAGACCCTGTCATTGTCTCTTGCACACACTCACATGGCAGGCGTGGCCAGCTCTGGGGTCCTCATTCGGGTACCATCTTTTAAGCGTTGGCAGAACTCCTCGTTGATCTGCACCCCAGGGTATGGGGAGGCCCCTGGGAACAGGAATAGGACAGCATGGGTAGGACGCAGGCACCCCCTTCCCTCCTCAAACTGTATCTTCACTTGGTCATAAGAAAATGATGCCCCTACTTGCTAGGGTTGATTTGAGCATGAGAATAGTACCTATGCTTGGTGTCTGGGACATAGCAGGGACACAGACTTGTTCGCTAAAACATGATTACTGAAACCATCAGGGAGCAGCAACTGGTTTTGACTTATTTCAGGAAGAACAAAGTCTCATGCCCCCCTCATCGATCCCTCTTTGGGGGCAGCCTTTCCTGGCTCACAATCCAGTTCCTCCTGAACTCTGCCAGTTCTTTGTCCTGAGTTTGTCTTCTCCCTCTGAACAGGCACTTCGTCTCTGCTGACTCCTGAAGTCATTAATGGCCTGTTTTCTTTCCTGCCCCATGAATTGTCTTCTACTTGGCAGCCAGAGTAACCCTTTAAAACATGAGACAGAGGGTATCTCTCCCTCACTCAGAACCCTGCAACGTACCGCAGGAGAGTTAAATTCTTGATCCTCGCCTTGGCCACAGGGGCTGGCTGCCCGGTTGTCTCTCCTACTCCTCCAACCTCACCTGATGCGCTGTCCACCCCCTGCCTGCTCTGCTCTGCACCCGGAGGACCTCCGGCGAAGAGGTGGTGGGCCTGGCTGCCTTCTTTCCTGGAACTGCTCTCCTCTTATCTCCCCATATCACCTGCCCACCCTGCATTTCAAACCAGTTGCTCTCAAGACAATTCTGATCTTTGCATGTCACCCATAAGACGTCACGGAGAAATTGACTGTTCTGGACATTTTCAATGGGTAATATGTTAGAAGGAAGCTCTGGTGGTATAGTCTGTAGGTAGTCATGTTGCAAACTCAAAAGCTCCATGGAAGAAAGATGGGCAATCTTCTCTAGTGTGTTTTACAGCCTTGGTAACTGCTGGTGTGTCAATTATGAGTAGGTTCCAACTCAACTTGAAATAAGTCTGAATTTTTGAGTGTTTTTCCTTGAATATTTTAGAAGTAGATTGCAGGCTTTTCTTCAGAGGTACCTCGGGGTAAACTACGACCTCTAACCTTTGGTCTAGCAGTCATGTGCATTAATGACCACTTGCCCTGGCCAGGGCCCTCCTGGGACATACACAGGAGACCCAAACATCCCATACTATTTAAGACCAAAACACCTTCATGCTGTCAAGTCCAATTCACAGTGACCCCCTGAAGACAGAGTGGAACTTGGAAATCAGTATTTCCAAGGCTGTAAAACTTGACCGAATCAGACCACCACAGCTTTCTCCCACGAAGCAGCTGGTGGGTTCAAACCACGGACCTTCTGGTTAATAGCCAAGAGCTCAATCACTGTGCCACCAGAGCTTCACCCTGTACTCTTTTTTAAAAAAATTTATTATTTTTTGTGAGTGTACCGTCAAATCAGATCTGACTGGTACAGGAGGAAACTGCCCCTCCTTCTCCAGCAGAGCATCTGGTGGATTCAAACAGAGTACCTCTGGGATTGCAGTGCAGCTTCTTGCCACTAGGCCACCAGAGCTCCCTTCACCCTGTACTCTTTAGACAGTTTCATTTTTTGTACCAATATCCGTCATCGTTTCCATTCGATGGTGTTTTTACTTTTTCACTTGTTCACTGACTTTCCTTACACAAGCTGGGGACATGTGTAGATTTGTCTGCCATGTGCTTGCATAAGATGTACTTGTTGTTGAAAGAGCATTCAGTGTCCTCTGGACCTCTTGCCAAATCTGTGATGGCAGGGGCACCATCTCTATGGCAGATGGAGATATGAAGCAGAGCTAGGAGAGTGGCTTAAGCTAATGGGAGGCAATAGGGAGAGACCTGGGCATGGCCCCTCTCTGGAGCCCCACGGCCTTCAAGCTGGGGCTGCTGCGTGAAAGCAGCAGTGCAGGCTCCAGCACAAAGCCCTGCAAAGATGGTTCTAGAAGCTGTCCTGTGTTGGAGGCCATATCCTCTGGGAGCTTGGGCCTGGCCAGGGAGGGAAGGGGACTATTGGTGCCTCAGAAAGACTTGGGCACTGTCTCCAAATACACATCCCAGCCACCCAATCCCTGCACCAAAGCATTTGAGGCAGCTGACCCAGGCCCCAGCTCTCACGCAGTGGTGGCAGCTGCTCTGGCCTCTCCACTCACCCAGGGAGAAGATCTCCCAGAGCAGCACCCCAAAGGACCACACGTCGCTTTGTGTGGTGTACACCTTGTCGAAGATGCTCTCCGGGGCCATCCACTTCAGGGGCAGCCGGGCCTGCAGAAGGGAAGTGTGGTGTCTGGGGTGGCTCCTGTTTCTCTAGTACTTGGTTACTTGCCCCCACTCCTGCATGTGTCTCACAGCTCCTGTAGGACAGCTCTGTAACCCCTCTTTGCTGCTGTGGTGCTCCCCCTTCCACACTCCCTCTGCATGTATCTTTGGTCTCACACAGAGACTTCTTTCCTCTTGCTGTACTTCTGCATCTGCCTGGCCCCTCTCATCCTCTGAGGTCTTTTGGGGAATGTTCTATCCCCTCCTGGAGCTACCCACCCTCAGCCTAGCTCCTGTGGACCAGGTCTCACATGAGAGCACCATCACTCTTGACTCTCCCCACTCTTCATGCTTCCTCCTCGTCACTCACCTCTCTCCCTCTATGTCTATCTTTATCCCTTCACCCTGACACCTTTCCACTCAGCCTGGAGCAGAAGGAACGTCTGTCAACAGCCCTCCGTTTACCTCCCACACACACGGCGAGTTAAGGTGAAGAATGAATGTTGAGGGAGGAGCCCGTTGTAGCCTGGACCTATCCTGCTCATAATACTCTGCTTCCAAATCCCTTCTATTTTCTCCCCTGAAACTGTGCATCAGCTTTGGAACATGCACTCAGACATGTCCCTGGCTGAGTCCATCCAGAGAGGCACATGCTACCTCCCAAGTACCAGGCCTGCCTGATGCTAGGACTGACACCTGGTGGGGTCCTTGACTGAATGCCAGCACTTGGCCCCTCCCCTGCCCCAGGGCAGGCCAGAGACTCAGTGTCAAACAAATAGACTCAGGATTTGGGCAAAATATAAGCTCCATTTTCGACAAGGAACAAATGTCAACTCTTATTTCACCCCCTGGCCCTAGGCTTCCTCAGCAGGGTTACTGGGGCCTTCAAGCTTCAAGTAGAGCCTGGAGACAGTGAGTTCCTCAGAAGCTAGGCAGGTGACCAGGACACTGGGAGCCCAGCAGACTAGAGGTCTGGGTCAACTCTTCTCCATGTTCCTGACCCTATGAGTCCTCCCAACCTATCCAGCTACCCCTGCCTCTCATTTTCTTAGCGGTCTGCACTCACGCTGCCCTTGCGGACATAGTCAGGGTCTTTGTAGATGTCCCGGGCAAGGCCGAAGTCACAGATCTTCACCACGTCACTCTCTGACAGGAGAATGTTCCGAGCAGCCAGGTCCCTGTGGATGCACTAGGGGCATGGGAGGTGCAGGGTGAGGGCCATCAGGGTAGGACCCCAGTGCATCCCATGCCTGGAGCTTTGCCTCAGCCCTGCTTAGCAATTTACACATCAGTTCAGTCTGTTTGTTCCTGAGAATTTTCACAGAAAGGGTTCAAAGGATTGTGAGAATAGTAGAGATGGTTGGGAAGTCATCTACACTCTGACCCCACATCCATCTGCTTCTGACCAGCTAGGAGATCTTGGGAAATCACGTCCACACTCTGGGCTCAGTTACCTATTTTGCAAAATGTGACTGGACAATAAAATCATCATGGGCTTAAGTTAGGACTAAAACCATCTTTTGATGCTGCGAGGTCTGCACCCTTCCCCCTCTGTAGGGCCTATCAAGGGCAGCTTACCTTGCGGGAGGCCAGAAACTCCATCCCTCGGGCCACCTGGAAACTGTAACAGATGAGATCTTCCATGGTTAGCGGGCTCTGCCACAGGTCCTCTGCTGCACAAAAGAGGAAGTGGCTTCAGAAGGGGCCTCCTCTGTAAGTCTTATCCCAGCCCCAAAGGGCTGCATCTCCAACTGCATTCCTCCTGACCTGGCTTCTGATGGCTTTGGCACCAGTTAACAAGCATGTCAAATCCTCTCCTGTTAGTCAGCCTACCAACCCTCTGGAACACCTACTTACTGTATCCCATACGGTGATCTGAATGGCTTCCATTTGTGAGGCAAACTCCTTTTTATCCTGTGATGTTCAAGTCTGTGAAACTACTGTTGAGGTATTCTCCCTTCCTAACGTGTTGTTGTGTACCATCAAGTCAGAACCGACTCATAGCTGACCCTCCAAAAAGTTTTCAGAGGCAGCAAATCGCACAAGAGGAGATTGCTCATCTTTCTCCTGTGGAGCAGTTGGTGGATTCAAACTGTGTACCTTTGGGTTGGAGGGCAATTCCTTATCACTAAGCCACCAGTGCTCCATTTCCTGAAGTAGACTTCATTGTATGCTCTTTTCTGTGCACCTTTCTCCTGAACTTGCAACCTTATGTATTTCTAGTGAGGGGGAAAGCCACTCTCCCTCTGATTTTGAGGTATCACTGTGCCTACCCTATTACTTGGGCATGGGAAACACAGGCTCTTACCCTCTTGGGCTGAAGGCGCTTGTCCTGCCACACTTTTGCCCACCAGCAACCGCATGAGGGCCCTGTCACTGCTACGGGACTGGCTCATTCTGTCAGCCTTGGCAGCCTCCACCATGGCATGGAAGCGCCTTCGCTGCTCTGGGGACTTCTCCTAAGAATACACAGAGAGAGTTTTAGCCTCATCACCCCTTCCTCCCAAGATCCTGACTCCTTCAGGAAGAGTCCCTCCCACTTGGTCCCTCTCCAGCTCATCAATAGAGCTCCTAAGGAGAGGCAGGCAGGCACCTACCGCATAGGGGTTGAAGGCATCCCGTTTGGCACGTAAGAAGTTGGAAAGGTTACCATACTTGCAGAACTCCACGATTACCATGAGGGGGCCTGGAGCAGAGTAGGGCAGGAAATAAAAAAGCTTAGTGATCCTGCTCACATTGCGTGGGTCAGCTGTGACGCAACCCTTCAAGCAAACATCAGTCAGGCCTGCACCCTTCTTTCGCCCTGTCATCTGCCCAGCTTTGCTCTGCTCCGCCCATTAGAGACCTTTCCTCTCGCTATAGCCAATGCATACTGAAAACCCACTCCTCAATTTCCCCACTTCTCCCTCCAGGCTGCCCTGCCGAGGACTCAGTACCGTTTGGCTTGGTGCACGCTCCCAGGAGGTTGACCACGTTGAGGTGGTTACCGATGTGGATGAGTATCTTGAGCTCAGACATAAGGGCCCGGTGCTCGCTGGCCGTGGCACCCTCTGGAGGGGACATGGGGGACTGGAGTAGTGGAGGGGTTTACCTGGGGCCTCTACCCCAAGGTCTTCCTTAGCCATTAACTAAGGCATGATCCATCCAAGCTCTTGCCATTAGGGGCACAAGGTTCTCCTGAATTCTGCTGTTCCCTCTGAGTCAGGGTGTCAGCTGGGATTGGGACATATTTCTCACGCCTGCCTCTGCGTCCTACTTCCTGAAGAATCCTGAGCAAGCCTCTCCAACACTGAGCTTCAGTTTCTTTGGCCGCAGCACAGTCCCCCCAGCCCACCACAGAAATGCTGCTCCTCACTAGTGTGGCGATTCCTTCCTCCCTTCTCCCCACTGATCCCACACCTTTCAGCATTTTCACAGCCACGGTGTCACAGCTGCTCCCCTTGTTGATGCCAAACGCGGAAGCTTCCACCACCTTCCCGAAGGCCCCGTGGCCGAGGACTCTCCCTGTAGGGGGTGAGGTAGCAGGGAGTGGGTTCCAGGTGGCTGAAGAAGGAGAGGGATGGGGAGCAGAAGCCACTATTCCGGGAGGGTCTCCTGAGCGTGAGAGGAGAGTCTGAACCTTTCTGCCAAACAGGAAGAGCATGGGGAGCAGGAGTGGGAAAAGGGAAAGGAGAAGACAGGAAAGCCTCGCATCCTCTCCAGCAGGTGTGACAGACCCACCCTGCTTAGAGCAGCAGGAAGTGACCTCTGGGGCCTGGGAACTGGGAGACCTGGCACAGTATTGGGGACGCACGCCCAGATGGACAGGTCAGACTAGGTGGGGGCCAGGCCAGCCCTCCTGGCAAGAGTTCTGAGAATGGAGGGGTTTGGGGAGCTCCAGCCTGTGTGGTCGAGGCTGCAGCTTTAACTGCTTGGGCCAGGAAGGGTGGAGCAGGGCAGATGCTGGCCTCACCCAGGTGCAGCCTCTCTCGAGGGAACTCCCATTGGCTGGCATCATAGGACAAGTATTCACACTGCTCTTCCAGGGGCACCTCTCCAGGGTCCATGATGATAGACAGGTAACTGGTCTTGATGTCTGCGTGGGTTGGCTTAGGGGTGGGGGAAAAAGGATTTGGACCATACTGCTGTGCCTGGGTGAAATGTCACACAAAACATACGGGACCTCTTTCAAGGCTCTCAATCAAGAAGGGGACAGACAGAAAGCCTCTGCACCATCAGAGCCTAGGACACGGAGAGGAGGCTGCATGATGGGCATGGCTCTCTTATTCTTTATCTTAAGGACTGGCCAGGGTGGGGACAGGATTGATACCATAAGGAAATGGGGAGGGGCTAGCAGAAGGAGGAGCCTCACCCTCCTCAAATTGCAGAAAATGAGGAGGAGGAGGACCCAGAAGAAGACTGCGATGACCCCGGTTCCGACAAGGATCACGATCTCCATGCTACCTTTATCTTCCGAGCCTGGGTGGGCAGAGAGGCATATGTGTGTTCACGCGTGTGCGCGCGCCCCCGCGCGTGCACGCAGAGTGCACATTAGCAGAAGGGCCCCTTCTAGTGGCTTCACTTGCGCAAAATGGCCACAAGATGGTGCCAAGGGGGACCAGCAGGGTCTGAGGGGCTCGGAGGCCGCCGGACCTTCCACAGCTACGCTGGCGGAGGAGTTGACGCAGCCCTTGGCGTTGCACACGCTGCACAGATAGCGGCCCGCGTCCTCCTCGCGTACGCGCTGGATGCTCAACTTCTGGTTGGAGTCGGCCAGGTCTATTCCTGCAGAAGGCGGGATTCGAGTTCATGTGGGTTTTGGAATTCCGGACCCAACCCTACACCCAGGTCAACCCCCTACCAGACTCCTCCTCCAGTGGCCTCTCGTCTTTGTACCACACGATGCTGGGCACGTGCGCCCCGGCCACCGGGCACAGCATCTCCAGGGAGTCGCTCACGTTCACCAAGAGGTCCGTCAAGTTCTGTGTGAGCCGCGGAGCTTCTAGAGCTGAGGTGAAGAGTAGTGGTAGAGGGTGGGCTAAGAAAAACTGCTGGGCGCCTTGGAAGGAGGCCATTAAAGCCTCGGGCAGAGGGTGGGAAGGAGATTAAAGAGTGGTAGAGTGGCATGACACAGAAGGGTCAGGTGATTGAGCACTGAAGGGAGGGACTGTTGCTTTGGAGTGGAGTGAAAAAGATTGTGCACTTCTATGGCGGTGTGGGGAATGTCTCTGCAGGGACCATCACACTACTGCACCACCAAGGAACGTGGTGGAGGGCTAGGGGCAAAGGCAAACTGGCCAAGTCTCGCTGGGAAGCACGGCCCCGCCCTCCATGGCAGCTCAGTCTCCCTCACCCTGCACAGACAGGTACTTCTTGTTGCAGTGCTTGTCCTGGCTGCGTCGGTCCTGCACCTCGCACACATAGTCGCCCTCGTGCTCAGGTGACACCTGGGGGATGCGCAGGCTGAGCGTGGTGTGTCGCTCCCCGGGCGCTGCCTCTTCCAGAGTGGCAGCCAGCGGCGTGGCGAAGAGGTGCACGTTCTTGCAGTCTAGAAGCAGCGGGTTCCCGTGCGCGTCGTGCAGCGTGGACAGGTTAAGTCGATACAAACGCAGGTGCTCATAGGTGTAGTTGTCGGCCTGGCAACTCAGCTGCACAGCCTGGCCCTCCAGAGGGTCCTCAGATGGCTCTATTTTGATGCTGAAGCCATGGGGGATGGCTAGGAAAGGGAGGAGGAATCATGGTGACAGTCCCCAGGCTTCCCACCTACCTGCCTAGCGCTCACTCCCAGTTCTCCCTTCACCATCAAGCCTTGAACTCACTCACCTCTCAGACAAGTGTGGAAGTCTGCCCAAATCTGGGGCCAGGACACCTCTGGAACCTTCCAGCTCTTGTCTGAGCAGAGGACCCACTCTTGAGGTCTTCTGTGACTCAGCCTCCCTCTCTCTCCTAAGTAAACTTCAGTGGGGCCTTACCTCTCCCAGAGCCCAGAGATCAGTGAGTTCTTTGTCACTAGACTCAGTGGGACCTGTAGCCTCACTCCTGTTTGCGGCTGGCCACACCCTCTACTCCTTTCCTTGAAACAATCTCTCTTCACTAGATTTTTTGGACACCACATTCTCCTCATTTCCTTTGTCTTTCTGGTCTCTTCTTGTCAGGCTCCTGTGGGCTCCTCTCTTCATCCATAGGGTTCTGCCCTCTTCATCCATCTCTTCATCCTCTCTTCATCCATAGGACTCTGCCTATGCCCCTTCCCAGGGGCCCTTATCTGTGCTCCTGGGCCCAGTGATTGTCTACTTTTGGGGTTTTTAGCTTCCTTGAGGTAATTAATCCATTTGAAAATCCAAAGAAACATCCTCAGCACAAAATGCACACGTGAGACTTCCAGGACAGAGAGGGACCTGAGCTCTAAGTGAAGCTAGGGAGTGAGAGGGCACCCCTAGAAGATGATCTCCTCCCTTCCACCCAGGTGAACTGGAGCCCCAGTCCATATGCTGAGGGCCTTTGAATCTATCCCTTCTCAGATCCAGGGATTCAGTGGGCTCCGGATATCGCTCCTTAAGAGTCACCAAAAACTAGGTAGGCTCCAGCCTGGGTCCAGCATCTGCTCCCAGGGCTGATTCCCTTCCTCCTACACCTCCACTGGCTCCTGCTCTGGAGAGTGGCCAGTCCTGGGGTCAGTCCAGTCACTTACTGGTCACATAGAAGTAGATGAGCCGCTCGTCTTGGCCCACCTTGTTGAAGACCACACATTTGTACATGGCAGACACATTGGCATCTTGGATCACCAGCTTGCTCACCGTCTGCAGAGAGCACAGGCATGGAGACTCATTCCCTGCCCGAGTTCCCCACATTGGACCCTTCCCTTATGCAAGGAAGTCCACTAGAGTAATGGAGATAACCAAAGTTCAGAGACAGGACCAGTAACGGTGACCTGGCACAGAGCTCGGTCCAAGGAAAGGCTAAGATTCAGGCTGCGCTCACATCAAAAGCCAGTCACTCTTGGGCTGGTGTAAGGCTGTGACCCAAGGCCGGCAGCTAGCCGTGTTATGGGACTCCTGTGATGCATCCACAACAGCCACAAGACTGCCCACAGCACCTCTCTTAGTGGCCAGGGGAGGAGCTGAGTCTTAGGCTTCCAGAAGGTCTGTGGCCTCTTGGAAGTTGGAAGTTTGGTAGGCAGGGGAGGGAGAAGACCATAGGCCCTGCCTACCATCCAAAGAGCGCCCCCCACAAGCCAGGCACTTCCTGGCCATGCCTGCAACAGGAAGAGGTGCTGGAGGTGCATAGGAAAACAGGAAGTGACTGTAGGAAGTGGGTGCCTTTGTTCAGCCCCCTTCCCCTGCCTGGCCTTTTCTCAGTATTGCCCCCAGGCTGGTTCAGCAGCTCAACAACCTTCCCAGGGGACCTGACTGATCCCCAGTTCCCCTGTCTCCTCCCAGTCCTGAGGCCCGTGGGTAGCTAGTGCCTATGTCTGACCAGGCTGCCTGCCATCTCAGTTTTCTTGTCTGGAAAGTGCTAAGAAGTCCACCCTGATAGCATTTGCAGATAGGGGAGCTGAGGTCCAAAGGCACTGTAAAAACTCTCAGAAGCTATCCTCCAAGCTCTGCAGACACGTTGGAAATCGGAAAAATATAAAGTGAGGAGAGATGCCCTTCCCACCGCCCTCCTCTCCTGTTCTGGACCTGCTCTATGTGGTAACTTGGTGATAGAGCTGGTTGTACCTTATTCTTCCCCTCCACAAACTCAGTCCAGGTGTCCAGGCTCTCAATGGGGTTCACAGCATCCTGCATGGTCACCTCCCTCCAGTCCCGACACTGTGGCATGCTGTCTCGTTGCTGCCGTCGGCTGCAGGTGATGAGTGGCAAAGGCAGGTCAGTGATGTGGAGCAAAGATCAAGTCTGTCACACTCAGAGTCATCTGCTCACTCTGTGGTGGGCAAGACCTAGAGAACTGAAGTCTGTTTGGAATCCTGGGACCCAACTCCTCTCTGGCCACTAAGAAATGTGTGATGGACAGACTCATGGCAATTGTGGGCACGTTAAGTATCCATGCAGTGCCCTGCTGACCTAAAAGCCTCACTCAAGTATGGAAGCAACAGACCTTGTTTCTGGAATACTGACTTGCCCCTCGTAGCCCCCAGGGTCCTGCACCCTATGCCACATGCACAGCCTGCCAGGCACATGCTCTCTTGGTAGTCCCAGGCACCTGCTGATGCAGAGGATACCCCCTCATTCTCACTCCACTGCTACGTCCACTTCTGCTGGTCCCTTTCTCTCTCCTGCAGTGCCCATCTGGATCTGCTCATCCAGTCTCCCAGGCACAGCATGTGTCTCCAACCCTCCAGAAGCCCATTCCCCACATCTCCCTCTCCCTGGTATATCCTCCTTGGCGTCAAGTATGCACCTTTGGCACCTGGGGCTCCTTCTGGGATGGGAAATGTGGTTTCAGGCTGCAAGGGAGGCTCTTGTCTGCCCTTAGGGGAATGGGAGGTCCAGGATGTAGTGGGTTAAAGACTCAAAGGGAAGCAGATTCTAGAGGTGCCAACAGTACCCTGCAGGCCATGCAGAAGGGCAGAGTGCTTAGGAGTTTTGAACATTACCTGGTGGCCTTGGGCTCATAGGCCACCATGACAGGGCCATAGGCTTTCCTCTGCCGGGGCTGCCCTCTCTGGGTTCCAATGTCAGCCTTTCCTCAATTTGTGAGCCCCCAACACACCCCCAAGGATGTAAGGCATGACTCCCCCGCTCACAGCCCTTCCTTGGCTCCCTAATGCTTTCAGGGCAGAAGTCAGACCCGGTGTGCTTCATGACCCCCTGGCCCTGCCGACATCAGCACTGCCTTTCCTGTCATCCCCTGCTTGCCTAAGCGGTCTCTGCCTCTGTCCTGAGTATCCCCGTCCTCCCTATCCTGCTGACATCCAGCTGGATCGAGGGGGAATATGGCTCAGCAATTGGGCTGTTTGTAGCCCTATGAATTTGGGAAAATAATTTCTCTTTTCTAATCTGATTTCTCTTCTGTTTGAGGGGGGAGTTGTGAGCACTGCATAGGGCCAGTGGGCAACGGAATACATGGTATCTTGCATAGCTCACAAGCTTTCCCTGATCCTCGCCCACGGTAGGAGACTCCTGGGTGCCCCAAGGCATGTTCTGTGGTCCTGCCCTGATGGTGCAGTGATGTATCAGGCGCTCTGCTCTGAGGGAGGCTGGATGAGGTCAGTCACATCCTGTGTCCAGCTCAGGTCTGCTGTGTGGGGCCTGACACCTGAGCCATCTCAGGTCTCCCACCAGGTGAGGTGGAGTCAGGGGTAGGTCATGGTGGAATTAGTGACAGGTTGGTTTGGTGCAGGGCTAAGTCTAGAGCCATCTTTAGAGAGAAGTTTTGTGCATGGCGAATGGGCATGAGCCTGGGCTGGGAACTGGATTACAGCTGCAGTAGAGGATGGGGCTGTGGAATGGGGGAGGGAAGGGCTGAAGCCACACTCACAGGCTGCGCTGGGTGAAGGTCTTGCAAGGTGTCCAGGGGCGCCAGTGCCACTGGACACTGAGGGGTGGAGGCACCCCGTAGGCGGTACAGGTGAGGGCTTGGCGACTGTGGCGGGAGTAGATGCTGGGGGAGGAGGCCTCCTTCTCGTGGATGTGGGGGGGCACTGGGGACACAGGATGACAGCCAATCAGCCTGCACCCTTGTTCCATCTCCTCTGGTGCAGCCCATTCTTTTGCCCAGTCCCAATATCCATACCGTTCACCACCAGCTCCAGGCTGATGTTGGACCACAGGCCGGCAGCCGCGTTCCAGAGGGCGAGGGTGTAGGTTCCAGCACTGGCTTCTGTCACCTCCTTGATCACCAGGGCATGTGGACTGTGGCGCCCAGACACTGCCTTTTTATCTTTGTACCTGTGCAAAAGGGTATTCATGACCCAAGTGGGCATCCCAGCCCCAGCCTGTCACTCTTTCCCTGCCCCAACCCATCCCTTATAACCAGAAACAGGAAGATAAGGCCAAGTGCCAGGTCCCGATGGGCCAGACTAGAGCAAGAACTCCTTCCAGGACCTGGCTAGGAGGATGCTGGGATGTTGGCAGGAGGGTGGTCAGGAAGACAGACCCTGGTCTGGAAGTTGATGGCCTAAAGCCTCAAAATGATCTCCCAGGCAAGGCCTGCCAACCTCACAGCTGAAGCCTCAGCCGCATTAGGCAGCAGGCTCAGGGGCATCTGAGGGTCTCCAGAACTTCTTTCCCTCCCAAAGCCTCTGAGTCTTGCTCTGGTGGGACATGTTCTTTCTGCTGTGGGCAGCCTAGTCTCTGGTGTGGGCAGCCTTCTGCCATGAGGCTCATCCATAGTATTCTTCAGCCTCAGGTGAACCTCAGCTTCAGGACCAACCACAGGGCCCTCTGTGACCCTGTACACATTCTCCCAGGCATCCTTGAGTGTGTGCTGGGTGAAAGTGCATATACCTCTTCCAGCCAATTCTGGAATCTTTAAAATAGTCTCAGAACTCTGTGCTGGCCCCCCGTCTCCCTATCTGGTCTTTTATGTGCTTTCATGCTGTCCCTTCGGGGCCTGTGTGACCCTTCCTTGGATTGCTCTTCCCTCTAGATATCTCCATGGCTCCCTCCTTCATTCAGTCTGTTCCTGAGGGAAGCCTCCCCTGACTCCAGGAGGAAATAGCACTCCAACTTCTATTTCCTCTCCTGCTTTGCCACTCATTGGTTTCCACAAGTCTCTGTCTCTCCACTGAGCCTTCTTGCTGCTGTGATTGCACACCAGGGAAGATGCCCTCCGGCAACCCAGGTTGACCTCCACTGGCCATATTCACTGCATGTGAACAAATGGGAGGGGCCCTTCCTGTGTGGACATGTCTTTCTACAGAGGATCCTCACCCCAGGTCTCTGTACTCAGGTCCTGATGGGAAAGGAGGCTGCTCTTCCAGCTTCTGGTCTATTCTCATGCTGGTAAGCAAGGGAGAGTGCAGTGGGGACTCCAGAAGCCCAGGCCCTTACCATTGGAACTCAGGTGGGGGGTATGCCGACAGCTTCACAGGGAGCTTCACCAGCTCATCGCCTGCTGTGGCCTCTAGGATGGGACCTTTGAGCCAGTCGACACTGATGAAGGGCTTTTCTGCCAGGCAGGAGGAACCAGTGTAAAGAAGGCCTGGCCTTATTGACCCCCCACTGCCCAAGGTCTTAGTGACAAGTTCTGTAAGGCTCAGCAGCTGGAGGCTTGTCTTGCGCTAAGGTATGAGTGCTGGGAGGACTTCACACATGCCCTCCTTCCACTTCCACAGTGGGTAACCCCCCCCCCCCATGATTCCCGACTCTGTGACTCAGGCTTGGTGACGTCTGACCAAGCCCAGGCCATACCATGCACGATGACCTCGGTTTTATCTTTGAGTTCGTGGTCCCCGTTGCTGGCCTTACACACGTAGGGGCCCAGGTCTCGCTGGCTGACGTTGTAGATGGTCAGGATGCTGGAGAGCTCTGTGTGGGTCTGCTGTGAGCGCCGCTCCGGCACCCACTTACCCCTCTCTTCCTGCCCACACCAGGGGAATCAGGGTCAGAGGAGAAGGCTCTGGCAGAACTGATGTTATCAAGGGCACACCCTCTGGCTTTGGTCAAGCTTCTGGAGCAGGGTGGGGCCTGTGCCTCTTGTAGACAGACCCTCAGTGTGCACTGGGCATGGGGCGGGCAAAGGCAATATTGGGGTACTTCCCATGATGCACTGGACACAGAAAGCATGGCCAGGGGGAACTCTTGGGACATGCTGGGCACAGAGTGGGTATGGGTAGAAGGAAGAAACCCTGACAGCGATGGGACCTCACCTGCTTCCCAGGGTAGTCCCAGCTGAATGTGACACCTGCATTGAACTCAGCCCACACAGTGCAGTTCAGGACCAGCTTCTCTCCAACCAGCAGCTCCAGTGACTTCTTAGGGAACAGCTGCATTTCATAGAGCTCATTGCCTGGTGACATATGCACAGTGACAGACACACCCCACACAGGGCACACACAAGGATGTGCACCACACACACAGAGTCCACGGGGACCTTGCTTTAGAACCTTCCTTTAGCCTTGATCCTGGGAACTGGAGGTTGCAGGAGTTAACCCTTGTCCTCCTCTACATCCCTCCTCCAGTGAGCACAAGACAGAGCAAGTGCTCCCTAGGGTGACTGGCCCAGCCCCAGCCTGCGGGCCCCTACCTGTGATGTGCACGAGGAAGGGGTTAGACCGGAAGTCCTGGCCCCCCAAGGTGGTCTCACACTGCAGGTACAAGGTCTCCCGAAGCAGCGGCACAGGCACTCGCATGCCCTGGCGGTCATCCCATATCACCTCCTGCATGTCTGGCCGCAGTACTGAGTTTTGCTGGAGGGATATGATAGCCATCAGGGCCCAGCCACCCACTTCCTCACAAACTGAACAGAAGCTGTGTTTCTCAGGGACTGGATGGGTGGACAGGTTCCAGGTGAGGGTCGAGTCTGTACCAGGCACAGTGTGACGTTGAGACCTGGAATGGACACCAGGCAGGGCACCCACATGAAGTCCTTCCGTTTGACCAGGAGTGTGTGTGGCTTGTTGATGAAAGGCTGCTCGAAATCTGTAAGAGGGAGCAAGAGTTGGAGGAAGGGAAGGCAGCCTCAGTTACTCTATAGGGTGAAGGGGTTCAGAGGCAATCCCATCAGACTGGTCGGCCCGTGATCTCCTGCCATCCTGGGTCTGTGGCTTTGTGTGGATCTGCCGGGTCCCACTGGCCCCTGCTTGGCCTGGCAACCCTCCGTGAGGGAGCAGGGACCTCACCTCTCACGAATACGTAGACGCTGGCTGCAGTGGTGCCCTCAATGCGGGCGTTGATGTACTTGTAGTAGCAGCGGTAGGTGCCTGTGTCGTTGGCTTGAGCCTCGCGGAGCAGCAGCTCTTTGCAGTAGGGCCTGGCTTCAGTGCCCACACAGTCTCGTACGACACCTGTGTCCTCGCTGTCTTTCCCCCCGTTGGCGGGTGCCTCCTGAGCCCCTGGCCAGGTCCACTCGAGAGGGTGTTGCCCCCTGGCAGAGGACAGGGGTGGTCAGGAGGGGTCTGGCCGCAGCCCAGGAGGAGGCTCCTGAAGAGCCCCTTGCAGGGGCCAAGCCTTGCCCATAGCTTGCCCACCCTGAGGACAGCTGTGTTCACAAGAGAGCTTAGACTCAGGCCTACACTTGGGCATGACCCTGAGCTCTTCAGGGGCCTCTGCCTGGCTCCAGGGGCTTTGTGTGGTGGGCTGGACCAGCTTCCAATTACCCAGGGAACATAATATCTCTGAGGCTTGGGGTCCACGTAGGTGGTTGGGTGGGTCAAGTAAGGGTCGATAGAGTAAGATTTGACCTGGAATAAATGTGGCCTGAGTAATTCAGAAGGAGTGTATATGACTATGGAGAAGTCACCTGGGGCTAGAGGGCTGGATGTGGAACAGGGGTGGAGTGATAGGGCATGTACTGGTGCCTGGAGCTGCAGGGCAGGGGCTGTCTGCTCATCCAACACACTGTGTACACCAAGCTCCCTGCCAGCTCAGCTGAGCCCAAGGCCTCTGTCTTCTGGGTCCCCCGCCACCATCTCCTAGCTCAGCCTTTTTCAGTCTTCTTGACCTGGCCACTAGGAGGGTCCCAGATCCTGGCCAAGTACCTGCAGGAGATGGAGAGACTATCACTGGCGTTGATGACGTAGGACTCCTCAGTGATATTCAGGCTCGGAGAGGTCATGGAGTAGCCGCTCGCCAGACCTGGAGAGGAAAACGGTTTCTCGTACAGAGACAGACACTGAACAGGTGGCAGCAGGCCCTTCTCTGTCCAGAGGAGCAGACCCTGCCGGCTGAACTCCCGGGCGGCACAACAGGTCGTGGCCCATGGACGCCCTGAGCATCACAGCCTGCGAGGCCTCACGGGAAACCAGAAACTCCACACAGCCTGAATCGTGGCCCCACTGTGCACTGTCCCTGCCAGAGAGATCCTGGCCCTACGCTCAGTGCAGCATAGCCCAAGTGAGTGACTGACGCCTGGGTTAAACTCTGACCTGTGCACGCCCATGAGTGCAGCCAGCCCCACACGGCGCGTGAAGGAGATGGTGGGGAACCTCAGCCTTATTTTCAGGGAAAGTCTGGATGGAGCTCATCACCTGGACACCGTGACTCCACATCTCTGCTGGAAATCTTTCCTTTCTCTCCTTTATAAACTCTGAAATGCCTCCAGCAGCTGCTGGTGAGAGGCCCCATGAGCTTCTCTCCACCCCCCACAGACCCCACTTGCCGCCCCGTTTGTGGAGTTGGGGGTAGGCATTTTTGGGGTTGTGAATCTGTGTAACTGTATGAATTAGTGTATGGGGCCTGCATTTGTGTCTGAGTGTGCAGTCTCATGTTTGCACACATTTATTGCTGACATGTTTGTGTGCACGTGTTCATGTGCTTGTGGGTATATATGAGGCTGTGTGTGTGTAGGGATCCCGGAGGCGGTGGGAGCATGCCCTGGGGGATGTCTGGCCTGGAATCTGGCAGATGCATCCTGCCAGGACCATCCTGAGACAACAGGAAGGGAGGACTGTGTGGCCGGACGCCCAGGGCTTTGTCCTGTCCCTCCCCCCAAGTCCCTGTCCTCCTGGGGGAACACAGCCTCCTATTCTGCCCCAGGTTCCTCCAGGTCCATAGTGTTCTGGGCAGCAGAGGTCAGACTCCTCTGTTCTTTCCAGCCCAGCTTGTCTGAGGCCTGTCTTCTGCGCTGACAGCCAACTGGGGTAGCATGGAACCTGGGGGATCCCACCACCGTTAGTTCTAGACCACCCTGACCCAAGTCACCCTAGGAAGGGGAATCAGGGTGGGATACGCTGGATACCAAGGCCTGCACTGCTCGGTGACTCTCTCATTCCGCCCCTTCCCTCCTGGCCCAACCATTCAGGCACCACACAACCGAGGGTCAGCACTTACAGAAAACCTAGTCACGCTGCACTGGTAGGGAAACCGAAGCCCTTCGGAAGGCATCGCCTTGCCTGTCTGGCAGCCATGTCTCCAGCCTGTAAAGCCCTTCCTTAGTCTGAGCCCAAATGCGCTCTAGTGGCTTAATGGTTGTGGGTTGTGTTTGGCGGCTAACCGCAAGGTTGGCGATTCAAGCCCACCAGCTGCTCTTTGGGAGAAAGATGTGGCATTCTGCTTCCATAGAGATTACAGCCTTGGAAACTCTGGGCAGCAGTTCTGCTCTTCCCAACAGGGTCACTATTAATTGGAACTGACTCCATGGCAAAGGTTTTCATTTTTGTTTGTTTGTTTTAGCCACTGAACCTTTCTCTTACATTCTAGCCAGCATCTTGTCTTTGGAGACCACCCAGCCCTGGTGCCACAAAGCAGGAGAGGTGGCCCCAGATTCTTCCCCCAGGGCTCACTTCATCCGGGCTCTTCCACCAAGTTTAGCCTCCTCTGTCTCCTAGGTCCCCACTGCACATCGGCAATCATGGGGTGTCTGGGAAAAGAGATGAGTGCCAGAGGCCAGGAGAATCCAGTAGAAAAGAGGCTCCTCTCCAGGGTCAATGAGGGGGTAGGGAAGGAACCCCAGAGAACAACTTTCTGTGCCAAGCTTTGAAGGAGAAGTAGGAATTTTCCAGGCAAAACTAATAAAGTTATCCTAACTGGACAACAGGCAAGTCAAGGGCACCGAGTGGATGGTGGGTCTGCAGATAATGACAGGCCTGGCTTTGGACCTGTGGAAGGTGAAATAACTGTGTCAACAGATGGCTAGGTGGGCAGAGAGCCAAGCCTGATTTGCCAAATGGTCAAACTTGAAGCCATGAGGGGCAGATGAGGTTAGGGACAGGGGCAATCCCACTCTGTCCCCAGGACCCTGGACACAGAGCAGCAATTATACAACTAATGGGGATCACGGTACTGAGAGAAGGAAGGATCTCCTGGGGAGTCTGGGGCATCGCATCCATGCCCTCCTCTGGCTGCACGGCCTCCCGAAGCACACACCGGCAATGGTTAACTCTGCTTCCTGTGATAGCTCCCTCTGCTTCCAAGATAAAGTTCAAGTTTGTGAGCAGGACATGCCAGGACTCTCCTGTCTATCTAGCTTCATCTTCTGACACATCTCCAAAGACAAAAGACCTATGATAGATGTCCCAAGTGCCAAGGCTTTTTTTTCTGTCTTGAAATTTTTGCCCTTTCTTATCCTTGATCCACTGACCTCCCCTTTTAAACACGCCCTCCACACCCTGTGGAGCATCAGAGTTCAGCAAGTGCCAGCCTCCTCTTCCTCTGGACTCCTACTCATAGAAATTTGTTATTGTTGTGTACTGTTGAGTCTGAACTGACCCATTGCTGACCCTCTGGTGGGTTTTCAGAGGCAGTTAATTAAACGAGAGGAGATTGCCCATCCTTCCTCGGAGCAGCTGGTGGATTCAAACGGTGTGATTTCAGGACTGCAGTGCAGCTTCTTACCACGAGGTCAGCAGAGCTCCCTTGTTTGAAAGTAGGGATTGTATTGTATTCCTTTTTCTAAGATTAGAACAGAGGACATATGCACCCAAAATTTAGGATATGGATACAGAATGATTGTAAGGATGACCAATGGATAGAAAAGAGATGAATGACTGAGAATAATGTGAATGGGTGAGTGGCTAGAAAGAAGGACTGAAAAGAAGGATGGGTGAGTGAATGAATGGAAAGTTGGATGGTGGACAGAAGGGTGAGTGGATAGGTGGATGGATAAATGGAAGGGAGGAAGAAAGGACGGGATAATGGATGGATGGGCAGATGGATGGATGCGTGCATGTATAGATGGGGGAATGGATGGTGAAGTCATTATGCCACCAGAGGAAACATTCATATTACAGCACTGAACAGAAGCGTCATACTGCTTCTTACTGCTTACTCCATACATGCTGCATCTTAATCCTTTTACCCTTCTGTATAAACCCTTCATTTGCCACCCTGACTCATGGAAAGGTCCTCCTTTGCCTTCACTGACCTTCCACTGGGACTCCAGTGATCAGTAAACTTTGCAGTGCACTTCACATTCTTCTGTGAATGTTCCCTCTACTTCATGTCTCAACTGAAACGAAGTTTTCTCTTTGAGGACATCTTGCCCCAGGCAGTATTGCTCACAGAGGCTGGAGGAGGTGGAGTTGGAGGTTGCTCTTCTTCCCTAAGTAAACCTCTTTGAGATCCCTGCTCAAAAGCACCCTCTCCCCCTAAAGCTGTCAGTGTCCTCCTGTTCCCTTCCCCTCATTCTCTGATGACTCCGGGCTCTCCACCCAGCTAAGCCCTTCTCCGTGACCTCAACATCTACCTGGTAACAGAACAGCATCTGCGTCTCTAAGATTCTCAACGGCATCTCTTCCAAGATTTCCCTCCTACCTTTTTTAGCACTTCTGTGGGCAAAGCCTGGCTTGTTCATCACTGCAAATGGCACTGTCACTGAATCCCTGACCTCTTACATTCCCCTCCTCTCGTCCACCCCCTTCTCTCTTTACTCCGATGTCCTTGTTCCACCATCACTATGTTTTTCAACTTCACTCACAATTCCAGTCCAGGGACTCTACTGTTCTCTCACCATCCATCATGCCCTCCTGTTCCTTGATCCATTTATTTGCATCATTTCTTAGTGTCTTCACCTTCCATTCCTACCTTTCACATCATGTCCCCAGAGTATTTCACAAAACTCCTAGCTCCCATGCTGGCTGTTTTCCTTGTCTTTCATGTTTGCAGATCTTGGTGAGTACTCATTTCTGCCTGGCAATTACGGACGTTTACTCCTCCTTCACCTTTAAAGTAAAATCATCAGATGGATATACCTTCATCTTCCCATGTCCAGACCTCACAGCCACTGGCTGGGGTTTCTGTTCCACTACTCTCCTTTCCCCAGCCCTCCAGCATGTCTGCAGGCCCTCTATAGCACCTGGGAACCCATCTCTCTAGTCTCCTGAAAGTAATTCTATTCTCTTTGAATCTCCAATTTTTCTCTCCACAGATTTATCTCTCAGAAACAAAACAATTGTTTGATCTTATATCTCTTGCTTCCTTTCCTATTTCCTTTCATAGCAAAAGTTCTCAGAGCAGCTACTTACTAACCCCTTTCTTTTATGTTTGTTTGCTTGTCCATCAACAATTTGGAGGTCTTTTAACTGCAGATTTTCTGAGTATCTAACCTTTCACTGAGTCGTCAGTTAGGGTCCCCATGACCTCAGAGCTGCCCACCTAGGTTCACTATCTGCTCTCCTCCCCTTTCCGCTCCCCAGGGCAGACAGCAGAGCCCTCTGGCTGGCTGCTGAGATCTCACAGTCTCCTGTTCTGCTGCCTGACCCCTGCCTCACAGGACTCTCCTCCTCTTCTTGATCTCTACAGCCTTCTCTCCCTCTAAGCATCTCTCCAACACCTCTTAGTTGCCCTTCTCTAGTCCAGAACACTTAATTCCAGTTTGAAGTATTCTGCTACTCACTTGGCTTGGACACTCCACAGGCAGCTCAATTCCCAATACGAAATCTCAGACTCACATCCTCTCTATTCCAGCACTTTCTGTCTCTCCAAATCGAAGTAGGGAGTTTCTGTGGACACTGCTTTATCCTATCTACCCCATCTGTTGTTGCTGTTAGGTACTGCTGAGTCAAGTATGACTCCACGAACAACAGATCTGAACCCTGTCCTATCCTGTGCCATCCTCATCATCTCTGACACACTTGAGCACAACTGTTTCTGTCACTGTGTCAGTCTATCTCATTGGGACCTCTCCATAAAACCCAGCC